TTTTTTTTTTCAGAAGCTCTGTCTCCTTATTGAAGTAATCTTTTGCTTCCTGTATTTGCTTATGTAGCTCTTTATCGAAATGATCTTTTGCTGCCTGTATTTGTTCTCTTACATCTCTTACTGCTGCTTCTGTTCCCCCCTCAGCCTCAGAGACAAGAATCAAGGAGCGCTCATCCCCCCGGTGCTGCGGCTCACCGTGACGTACCTKCGGGAGAAAGGTGAGGTCCAGCGTCCAGCCAGGGCACGCGAGCAGCTGGTCCCCGCCCAGGGGGTCAGGGTCCATCCTGAGCATCCCACAGGCCAGGGGCTGGAGGAGCTGGGACCAAGCAGGGGGTGGCCGGGAACAGAARGGCACAGGCACAGGGGCTCCTGGAGTGGCCTGACAGGCTGCCTTCCAGTCCCCACTCCCCTGTGTGTCAGCTGTGTGACCTAAGCCAGTGGCTCACCATCTCTGGGCCTTGGTGCCCTCTCCTGTCCATGGGGTTAGTAGCTCCTGACTCAAAGGCCCACAGTGAAGCTTGGCTGAGAAGATGCRTGTGAGGCTGTCCAGCACTGGCCTGCAGGACCCCCGCCCCAGCTAGGGCTGCCTGGACTCCTTGTTTGCAGGCGCCCTTGACAGGGTGGGTGTGGCCAGGACCTGGACCTGGAGAGCCTGGTGGCCCCCAGGCTTGCTAAGGCCAGGTCTCAGGTCCCCGGGGAAGGCGCAGGACACGGRCAGGGCCCACGGTCTGCAGCCAGGATCCACGCAGCCCAGGGTGGCCTCTGGCTGGAAACGGCAACACAGCTGCGGGGTCTGCAGGTTGTGACGCCCGGGGTGGTGTGTCCTTGTCACAGAAGGTCCACGAGCAGCCACCCTTGAGCAGGGGCTCTGACTGCCATCAGGTTCTGGCTCTACTTTCAGGTGGCCTCTGTCTCGCTGACCAGGGGTGGTCAGTGTGCACTTTGGACACAGACTGAGAGGGCCTCCCTGCTCCCTCCCTCCCTCCCCCCTTCCTCCCTGCTCCCTCCCTCCCGCCCCTTTCCTCCCTCCCCCTTCCTCCCTCCCCCTTCCTCCCTCCCGCTTCCTCCCTCCTTCCTCCCTCCTTCCCTCGTCAGCAGTTCAATTCCTTTATTATTAGAAGCAGCCCAGGCAGGAACTCACCTGTGTTGGGTGGGTGTGGCCTCCCAGGTCCCCTCTTCCAGGCCCCGGTGGCCCTGGGGACCACATATGGGCTCTGCCYTTTGGGGCCTGTGGGTCCTGAGAGTCTGCACTGTGCCTTGCTCTGCACGGCTGCCCTGGGACCACCACTGTGTCACCAGCACAGAATGAAGCTGGCCACAGTCGCCTGGAGACCCAGGTCCTGCCCCTCAGTGGAGGGGTCACTGTGCCGGTCCCCATGCTGCAGGACAGGTGACCACAGACACAGTGACTTAGAACAGCTCCGCCGATCGTCCGGGGTCTGGAGAGCAGAGCTCTGGGCCAGGGGGCCTGCGGGGGCCTCGGGCTGCGCGGGGCTCTGGCTGAGCGCCCCCTGGAGTCTGGGGGAAGCCCGTACATGCGGCTTCCAGGTCTCGGGTCCTGTGCTGTGGTGCCGTGTGCATAAGTGGCCAGAGCCGGCTGCCCACGGGCTGTGACTCAGGTCAGCAGTGGCTGCGATGGGAACTGCCCTGGTGAGCGAGGGGCACCCCAAGGAGGCCGGCCGAGGGGACGTTCCCAGGTGAAACCCAGGCGCACCCATCAGGCATTCCGAAGCAGTGGTCCTCRGCCCCAAGGGTGGGCCACTGTGGTGTCCTTGCAGCGGAGCTTTTAGTGTCACGTGGCCGCTGGTCTGGTGGCCTGGCTGTCCCGTGCTGCCTGGCGCGGGTSAGAGCCACTCGGTTTCCCTCTGGCCGACTTTCACAGGCTCAGGTGGCTGTGGCCTRGCTGGCCGCCCGCCAGGGGCCTCCCCAGCTGCTGAGGCCACCAGCYTTCCTTCCAGGTGGCCCCTCCACCTACAGGAAGAGTCCCTGAAGCCAGAGCAGCGCAGATGGGGTCGGCGTGACCTCTCCAGCCACGGGTGGGCCCCAGCACCTGCCCCGTCACCTCCTCCTGCCTCCAGTGTCACTTCAGCCGTGACCCAAGGGAGCCCTAGCAGGACCCGTCCCACACAGAACTCGATTGTCCYGAGGCCTTGTCCTGGGTGCTGCATTTCACGGGGTCACCCAGCGGTGGTGCCCGCACGGCTGGACGCAGCACCAGCCCCTGGCCCTGTGCCCTCCTGGCCGTGCAGCGTGGGTCCCCTCTCCGCAGGCCAGCTTGGCCGTCTCTGGAGAACCCCCTCCCACGGGAGGTCCCTGAGAGTCGTCCTGGCTGCACGCCAGGTCCTGGGGCCTGCACTGGGGGGACAGACGGGCAGCTGTGGTGACACCGCSGTGCCCGAGCCCTGGCGTGGCCCTCCGTGTGACAGTGGGCAGTGGGCCTTCCCACCTGCACCCCACCGGCCCACCTCCTTGCTTTCTCTGCCTGTTGACGTAAGGTCCAGCCTCGGGGCCTGTGTCACCTGCCCCTCCYGGGCAGAGCTGTCCGTGCCCCTGACACCCATGACCCTGGCTGCCCGCCTCCCACCTGCACTGGGACCGCCCGATGCGTGTACAGTCCCCGAGCACCTGGGGGAGGAGCCCGGGTGTCCGTGAGGTGGCCGCTGACCTGAGCTCTGGAGGAGGGACGGGGTGGCCGCCCACTGGGGGAGGGGTGGCCRCCCACTGGGGGAGGGGTGCCGCGGYTGTGTCCGCAGCATGAAGRTGGGTGGTGGGGAGTCAGGTGAGGCTCTCAGTTGCTGCTGGGCGCCTTCTGGGTGCTGTGTCCCCTGCTGGGAAGGCTTCCCAGTGGCAGGCTGGGGCAGGGCCCTGTCACCCGGCTGGTGATGTCAGTGGCCAGAGGCCCACCCCCCGACCTTGTCGCTGGTTTCAGGAGCCCTCGGTTCCGTGGAGCCCGTGGCCGTCTGTCCACCCCATCGGCACTGGCCGGGAGCTCTCGGAAGTGTTGTGTGTCCGCAGCGTCCCGCGTGGCTCCGGCAGCAGTGGCCTGAGGGGACACTTCATATGTAGCTCGTGCAGTTGAGCGACTGGGCTTTTTATTTTGTTCAGTTTTAACTGATTAACTCATACTTTGATCACTGTGGGCAGCTAGGGCCTGGACCTCAGGGGAAGCTGCTTGTTCCAGGTCTCCCGGGAGCCAGGCACATGCCAGGCATGACCGGTCCTCTCTGCTCCCTGGGGGCAGGACCCTGTGGCCTTGCCCTACTGGCCAACAGGTCCGTTGAGGCTCAGAGAGGCTGAGCGCATTCTCCAGGGTCACACAGCTGGTAGGAGGCAGAGCTGGATGGGAACCGAGGTCTGTCTGACTTCAGCCTCTGTCCCTTCCTATCCCTGGCCAGGGCCATAGAGAGAGGAAAATGGGAGCTTGGGACATTGAAAACACTTAAGAGGGATAAGTGAAATCACAGGAGGGTGAGTGGGCGGGAGCATCCCCTGCCAGGCACAGCAGGCAAGGCCATGGGAGGGGGTCACAGAAACGTCCARAAACCCAGTCCTGGCTCTTCTCCCTGCAGGGCTGCGCACCGAGGGCCTGTTCCGGAGGTCGGCCAATGCCCAGATCGTCCGCCAGGTCCAGAGGCTCTGTGACCAAGGTGAGTGCCCCACCGCCCACAGCCCTGGGCCCCAGAGCCCGGGACCCAGCGGACCCCAGCGAGAGCCCAGGACCAGGAGCAGCCAGTGTGGGGCCCTGGGCAGACCCCCATCTGGCCCTTGGGTGGACGCAGGCTCAACGGACATCCGAGGGGCAGGGGATATTCTCGGGGTCTGCTCTAGCAGTCCCCCAGCCAGCCCAGCCCTGCGGGACACCTGCCCTCTGTCCCACCGACCCCCCGCATCCAGCCCACGCGCTCATGAGCACCAGGCCCACGGGTGCAGAGCTTGGGCACCAGTTTTCCTGTCCGGCCCGTGTGCTGCTGTGTCACCCAGCTGGGCAATGCCATCTGAGGGCCAGGGCCCTGACCCCAGGGAGCTGCGTCCTAGCCAGGGGCAAAACCTCGCCCCAGGAAGACAGTCCCCCAGGAAGACGGCCCCCCAGGAAGACGGCCCCCAGGAAGACAGCCCCCCCAGGAAGACAGCCCCCCCAGGAAGACAGGCCCCCCCAGGAAGACAGGTCCCCCTGGAAGACAGCCCCCCCAGGAAGACAGCCCCCCAGGAAGACAGCCCCCCCAGGAAGACAGGTCCCCCCAGGAAGACAGGTCCACCCAGGAAGACAGCCCCCCCAGGAAGACAGGTCCACCCAGGAAGACAGGTCCCCCAGGAAGACGGCCCCTCCAGGAAGACGGCCGCCCCCAGGAAGATAGCCCCCCAGGCCCAGCCGCCCCAGAACTGGTGGGAAGAGCACCCGCCTCCGGGCGGCGAGGGGACCAAGCTGTCCCCAGGCCTGTGGCCACCATCTTGCCCTGGGTCACACCATGTCACAGCTGCCATCTTTAGGTGCCATCTCTAGGCGGCAGGAGGAGCTCACTGTGCCATGGTCCTGCAGGGAAGCCCGTGAACTTCGATGACTATGGGGACATCCACGTCGCTGCTGTGGTCCTGAAGACCTTCCTGCGGGAGCTGCCCCAGCCGCTGCTGACCTTCGCGGCCTACGAGCAGATCCTGGGGATCACCAGTACGTACGGCAGGGGCTGTGGGTCCTCGGGGGCCACCTACCGCCAGGTCAGGCCCGGCACGGCTGGGGTGGCTCCACGTGCAGAGTCAGGACAGCCAGCCCTGTGGCCATCTGGCACAGAAGRGACCTGTGGGGCTTCCCCACCACGCAGTGAGGTCTATTTATGCCCCGCCGGCCTCCGCCAGGCCACACTGTCACGGTGGGCAGTGCCTCAGGGGGCATCCTGCCACAGGCGGCAGAAGACACCTCTGGATTGGGGCGTATTGTCCTGGTCATGGCCCGGCCTCTGCCCACCCCATGCTGACCCCCAGGAGTCCCAGCCCCTCAGCTCTCCCCCTGGAGCGGGGTCCCCGGGTCCCTTCCTGTGTTAGTGCCCTGAGCTGCKGTGCAGGGTGGGACCCCGTAGCGGGTGCCCGGAGCTCCACGGTGGGCTCAGGAGCGCCAGGCTTGCCCCGGARGGCAGCACCTGGGAAGAACCACCAGGCCCCCGGGTCTCTGCCATCCAGTGCCATCTCTTTTTTCCTCTGGGAGCCCCGGGGTGCAGAGGGGCCGGGTTTAGAGCTGACTGTAGGACAGTGTGGCGAAGGTGTCCCTTCCCCTGAATCAGTGCTTCTGGTCCTTGTCCTGGGAGGTGACCTGGGGGACTGGAGTATCTTGTTACTCTCGGGGCCCTGTAGGTTGGGGTGACCCAGGGTGGGGCTGGGCCTTCCAGAAAGGCCAGGGTTGGGCTTTCAGCCGTGGGCGGCGGCCCAGCTCCTGAGGGCAGGCAGCTGGAGACTGAGGGCACAGCGCCCCGAGCTCCCAGAGCGCCACATTTCCCCCTTTCCTCGGGGTTTCTCCCGGGCTCCTCTCTGAGACTGGAGGTAGCCCTCCCACAGCGGCTCAGAGTGGCCAGGCCCTGGTGCCTGGCGGAGGCCAGGGTCAGGCTGGGCCTCCAGGGCCAGTCTGCCGGTGCCCACGGCGCGGTTCCCTGTCCACCAGCAGCAGGGCCTGCAGGGCGGTGATGCGCAGGAGAGGCCACGCGCAGGATCGGGACAGCKAGCCCTAGCCCTGGGGCTGGCCGGAGGGGGCCCGCGGGAGCGCAGACCCTAACCTGATAGAACAGCACAAGCACAGGGTGGGAGCCACCGCCCAGGAGGCCACGGCGCAGCCTCATGCCCTGTCCACGCCAGAGCGGCCACGGCAACGCGCGGCTGCTCCTCTTTCCTGCCCCCCTCCTTCTGTCCTGTCCGTCTCCCTCCCTTCCTCTCCCCCTCTCTCTCTCTCTCTCTCGCACACACACTCTCCCCCACGACCTCACCTGTCCCTCCTCAGAGCTCCCCTGAGTGCTGTCCTCCTCCTGTGCCCTTGTAGCCCCGTGTCCTTTTTGATGGCTCCATAGCGCTCCACAGGCACCATTCCTTGTGATAATTGCTCTGTCCCTTTGGCCCCACCCAGCGGCATCAGAGCTGTTTCCCGTCGTGTTTTGCTCACTGGTCATTTTACAAGATTCCACAAGTTCCGAAGCTGCGGTTGTTGAGACCTGAGATGGTACCAAAGGCTGAGGAGTGCGTGGCGGGTGCCTGCGGGGAGCCTGGTGACGCCTGCTGAGGTCACTGAGCAGGAGTGCAGGGGGAGGGGGCCTGGAGGTGGGACAKCGGCCGACTCCTGGCCTAGACCACTCCTGTTCCACGGACTCGGCCTCCGGCCCCCAGGAGGTGATCTCTGTGCGCATTTGAGGACCAGGAGGGGGCTGGCCTGTGCTGAGCGCACCCCCTCCGGGAAGTATGTGTGGCGTCCAGAGCTGCCCAGGCCCCTGGACAGCGAGGTGGTGCTGTTGCAGGTGTGGAGAGCAGCCTCCGCGTCACCCGCTGCCGCCAGATCCTGCAGAGCCTCCCGGAGCACAACCACGCCGTGCTGCGCTACCTCATGGGCTTCCTGCACGAGGTGAGTGGCCCGGCCTGCACCTRGCCGGCGCCTCTCCCCCACACCAGGCCGGGCCCTGCCTGCCTGACCTGGGGCACGTCCTCGGAACACCACTCCAGGTGGCCAAGGCCGTCGTCCCCAGCCTGGCCAGGTGAGGGCTGCGGGGAACCTCCCTGCGGCCAGGAGGGCCAACCACAGCCTCCGGCCCTGCCCCTGGGCCGGCCTCCGCCCCTGCCGGCCACCTCCTTCTCGGGCTCCTCTGCTCTTGCGTCTCAGGCTTGGGCTGAGTCTGGGCTGGGGAGGCCTGGCACACAGGAGGCCCTGAGGCTGGCACACAGTAGGCCCCGAGCCGATGGCAGGTGATTCCTGCAAGGGAACCAGGCACCCTGCCCTTTGGGCCCACAGGCCGCGTCCCAGAGGGGACCCTGGGGCCGAGGCCAGAGAGGGAGGTGTGGGCAGCGCTGCCCTCCGGCCACAGAGTCCAGGGAGGGGCCTCCCACCACAGAGTCCAGGGAGGGGCCCTCCTGCACCTTCCAGCTCCTGGCCACTCAGGTGGCCGCCCAGCCCAGCCCGGTCCCCACCTTGGCCTGTCCTCTCCTCTGTCCCCTGGTCTCGTCACTGCCCTGCCTTCCTCTCTGAAGGACGCTCATCCTGGGGTGGGGGCCGCCTGGGCAGTCCCGGGTGCTGTCATCTGGACAGCCTCGGCTTCATGCCATCAGCAAAGACCCTCGCTCTTCCGACAAAGCCAGACTCTGGCTGAGGCCTCTCCTGGGCCCACCCTCGTGTCTCGCCAGGTGTCCCGSGAGAGCCTCTATAACAAGATGAACAGCTCCAACCTGGCCTGCGTCTTCGGGCTGAACCTCATCTGGCCGTCCCAGGGCCTGTCCTCGCTGAGCGCCCTGGTGCCCCTGAACCTCTTCACTGAGCTGCTCATCGAGTACTATGACAAGGTCTTCAACCCCCCAGAGGCCCCCGGGGAGCGCACCCCGGGCCCCACGGAGGCAAGCGGGCCGGGCAGCCCCCTCTCCAGACAGTGTGCCAGGGTGGGGGCACCCCCGGCTTCACCCTGCGTGTCCCGCCTCCGTGTCCCCTGAGGGTGGCCAGGAGACACCTCTCTTGTTGGATAGGTCCCCCCAGCCCGTGCGTCTGTGTCCCAGTGTGTGTTTGTGAACTTGCCCTCAGAGGTAGTCATCAGGCATTAAATGAACGCGGAACTGTGGCGAACAAGTCCTGCTTCTGATTCTCCATGGTGAGGCTGGAGTAAAACCACGCTGTGAGGATGATTCTCTGAACTGCAAGCTGGGTGGCTTCCGGGAACCTTCGGGCAAGGGGTTTGTAGCTGTCAGCGCTGCCGCAGTGCTGTGTAACAACCACCTGGGCTCAGCGACTTCACACAGCCACTCCGCGTCGCCCACCAGCCAGGGCTGTGCCAGCCCCAGGTCCGTCCTCTCACCAGGCCTGAGATGGACAGGAGGAGGACGGTTTCCGAGGCCCCAGTCGTGGCTGCTCGACCTCCATGCTTTGGGCCTATGGCGAGGGGCACACCACGGGAGCGCATGGTGGAAACTGCTCGCCCGGGAGCCAGGGAGTGAAAGAGCRGAGAGGAAGGGCCAGGGGACTAAACTCTCCTTCGAGGGCCGCCTCCAGGGGCCTAGCTTCTCCTACCAGATCCTCCCTACTAAGTGTCCCCCCAGGAACACCCCGGGCTGGTGACCACGCCCCGTGAGGCAGCTTTGGGGGACATTCAAGATCCAAGCCCTGTCTGTGGGTCAGCTGATGGCTCTGTGGGTCTCTTGGGGGCTCTCTCCATGTCCGGGCTGGGCTGGCCATCAGCTGGGGAGACGTGGCTGTCCGGCAGGTGCCCCAGACGCTCCAGCAGCCMGCGTGGGCACATCCTCAGGGTGGTRCCTGCACAGAGCTGTCCCGGGCAGGTCCCGAGCTCCGGCTGGCTCCCTGTGGGCTCCACTGGCCCCAGCGAGCACCGTGGCCAAGCCCAGGTCACACAGAGGGCGATGTGGGAGGGTAAGACCTGGGCACACCGGCAGCCCCCTGCGGAGGGCACTGGGACATGTTGGGGTTCTGTGGCCTCAGACACCTGAGTGGTGTGATGGGTCCTGTGTCCCCATGAACTGCGGGGAGAAGGCTGTGAGGCCCACGCTCCCAGACCATCCCGCTTAGGGCATGTGCTCATCCTGGACCGATGGCTGTGGCAGGGACATGCCGCTCAGCCAGGCTSGGACGGAGCCCTGGGCAGCCTGGTGTGGCCGGGAGGAGGGTGGACCTCCGGACACCATGGCGGGCTAGGCCACCTGCAGCCATCGCCCAGGAGCCTGCCCCAGGGAGAGGGGGCGCTGGGGACAGAGGACGAATGCTGGCAGCGGTGACCCAGGTGCCCCTGGGATCCTTGGGGTGGCGCCAGGATCTGCCCCCCTCCCGCGCCTCTCAGGGCCTCCCCTGGACACCAGCCCCTCTGCGGGGCTCTCTTTCCTGCCCTGCTGGGGTTTGTGGCATTCAGAGAAGGGACCAGCTGTGCCCCGAGCTGAATCCCAGCACTTGTCACGGGTGACACCGTGTTCCAGAGCACAGAGCACACGAGAGGCCAGGGAGGGTGTTGCTCCTTCCTCCTGGGCATTGGTGCTGTCCCCGTCCAGGGCAGAGCAGTGTCCCCGAGGCCTGGGCACTCTGTTACTAAGGGCGTCCATCCTCGCAGGTTCTTGAAGGTGTGTCTGCAGCAGAGGGACAGGGCCCAGTGACAGTTGGGTGGGAGAGAGGACGGGTCAGCCCCACCTGCACTACAGGACAACATGGCCACACGGGCAAGGAGACGGGTGCCGCCACCCACAGGTCCCTGCTGTGGTGCCGAGGTGCACAGCGGTCCTCGGCCCGGCGGGTCGGCCCCGTGGCATCCCAGCTGGGGACCTCTGCTGGGGGGGCAGGTCCCCAGTAAGTAGCACCCCTCTTTTTTGCCCAAGCAAATCGAGAGAGGCAGGCTCAGAAGGCCCTCAGACAGAGGCCAGGTGGCTCCCCGCAGCCCACAGACCTGCCTTCCCTCTGGGGCCAAAGGCCTGGGCACGGGCCACCCTGACCTGGACAGACTTGCCGCTGGCCACTGGCCCCGCTGCAGGGGCTACGAGGATGGCCGGCTCTCCGTTGGTGCCCGGCTCCCCTCCAGGGGCAGCAGTGGGGGCATGGCCCCTCCTCCTCCCAGGAGGGACAGGAGCGTCACCCCCACCTGGGGGTCTCTCCAGGGGTCCCAGGGTGTCTGCTGTTCTCATTCCTAGTCTAGGGGTGAGGGCCTGGGGGCGGGCTGTGTGTGTGTGTGTGTGTGTGTGTGTGGAGGACGAGATGTGCCCAGGGCCACCCAGCGGCGAGGGGCAGGACTGGGGTGCAGACCTGTGCAGACCTTTGCTCCGCCCCCTTCTCCCCCTTCGTGGAGCTGGGGAAGGGAGGCATCGGGCCTCCGTCTTCCTGTCTGTGCAGTGAGGACCCACACCACACGCCCCTTCCAGCTTCAAGACACCGCTCCAGCCACAGGCCTGAGCCAGGGTCACCTGTGACCTCAGGCGAGCGGAGCCTCTGCCCGCCCCTGATTCCTGGCTGAACACGGCGACAGAGCTGGCGCCCCACGCGGGCAGGGAGTCCCTCTGCCCCTCGTGGCACCGCGGACTTCTCCTGGTCGTGTGGGGAACACCTGGATTCTCAGGTTTATAGTAGGTTTGGTCCCCCGGGTGGCCGCATGCTCTGCAGCACTGTCCGCCTGGGGCCCRCCAGGTCGCCGTGAGCTGAGGGCTCCGGCTCACAAACGCCCCTGGAGCCCGCCCTCCCCACGGCGGCCCCCAAGAGGTTCCAGTCCTGGCTGGGGGCTGCCTGTGTCCTCACCGTCTGGAGCTCCAGGGACAGGACTGGGGGGACCAGGACCAAGCCCTGTCAGAGGTCTTCTGGCTTCTTCTCTCCCCCTCCTCCAGCCCTCTGCTCTCTGTCCAGTGTCTAGTCTTCCTTCCCGGCTGGCCAGGTCCTCTGTCTTTCCCCTTCCCACCCGTGTCACTCGCCACTCACGGGCACTCGGCCAGAGCCCTCTCCTGTGCCGCCCAGAAGCTGGTTCCGTTCCATTTCTCTTCTGTTCTGCTCCGCAGCCGCCTGCTCCCTCCYTCCCCCTCCCCTGTCCCCCCTCCCCCTCCCCCCTCCCTCCGTCCTCTTTCTTTCCACAGGGCCCTCAGCTCTGACCTCTGCGGGCTCCCCACACGGGCTCCCCAAGGGTGGCTCTGCGTGGTCCCTGCCATGTCCTGGCCACAGCCTCTGGAGAGCCACGGCCTCTGCACCCGTCAGGCGGGCGTCCACGCTCACAGAACAGCCCCAAGTGGCCTCGGAGTTGTGTTGCCAGGTTAAGTACAAGGGAAGAAATAACGACAACGGCTCCCTTCCGGGGCAGCGAGGGCAGCGTGGTGGCCGMGGCATTAACAAGGACGTTAAATCAGGCCTCATGCATTATGCAGAGAGGGGCCCGGAACCGCGCCTGGGAAACATGTGTTTCAAATTTCCTGACTCCGCGTGGCCCAGAGGTCCTCCCRAGGCTCCTGGATCACAGCTCCTCTTTTACAGACGGTGACTGTGGAATCGGGCTCGGGCGGTGTGGCCCCCTCGCCCTCGCCCCTGTCAAAGCCACCTCCCCCATCATTTCCGTGGCCGGAAAATGCAGGAAATGTGTCCCGCAATTCAGTTAAAACAACCAGGACTCGGGGTGTCTGTTGAGGACACACAGAGTCGCCATTCACTTTTGCAGAAATGGCAGGGCTTTACGCGACCCCAGAGGTCAGGCAGCCTGCCCAGAGTTTGTAAGCCGACGTCCACTGTGAGTTACTGAGACCCGTCCAGACMCGAGAGTCTATAAGCCAAGGAGTGCCCCTCGCCCCACCTGAGAGAGCCAGCCTGCTGCCCCCAGAGGGCCGGCTCTGGGCACCCCACTCCTAGTGCCAGCTCAGCGAGCGGGTGGCCGGCAGAGGGAACTGGCAGTCACAAGGCTCAGCTTGAGGTTCTGTCCCATGTGGCAGGGATGGGACTGGGAAGGCCTCCCAGCTTTTTCCCAGGGGAGCAGCCCCTTTGCAATTTCCTGTCCTTCTGAGCACCTGCTTTGTGCCAGTCTCAGAATTAGAAATGAGCAAGGTATGCCAGCTGCCTCAGAGGGCCTGCTGAGCAGTCTGGGACAACACAAGAAAGTAAAAGCACAAGTAGGTGCTTCTAAGAATGAAAGCAGTGTGTTTGCTCAGGGCTAGGGATGTGCCYGAGTATCCCTGTGCTGGAGCGGGGTCCCTAGTGTGGTGGYGTGGAGATGTGGTGGACCTTTAARGGGTGGGGCCCAGTGGGAGGAGGTGAGGTCGTTGGGGGCGTGGCCTCAGAAGGGGTGGGTGTGAGTTACTTCCTGTGAGAGTGGGCTATTATCAGGGAAGGTCCCCAAATGCTGGGTCCCCTCTACACACAGCCATTTCCCTTCTCATCTGTCCACCACATTGTGATGCAGTTGAGGGGGCCCTCGCCAGAGTCCAAATAGATGGGGGCTGATCTTGAACTCTAGACTCCGGAACCGTGCCCTAAGCTCTTTTAAAATAAAATATCCACATGATGGCACACKCCTGTATTCTCAGTGGCTCAGAGGCCGAGGCAGGAGGGTCGCAGGTTCAAAGCCAGCTTCAGCAACTTAGGAGGCTGTAAGCAACCTAGGGAGACCCTGTCTCAAAATAAAAAGTAAAAGGGGTTGAGGATGTGGCTCTGTAAGTTATTTCCAATTGTCAACTTGACTGGATCAAGAGATGCCGAGAATTCAGAGGATCAGGGGTGTGTCTGTGAGGGCGTGGCTAGGAAGGATTGGCATGTGGGACAGCCAACTGGAATGGAGACCCTCCCCAGGCGTGGGCAGCACCACCCAATAGGATGATGCCTTGGGTGGGATACAAGCTGGAAGAACGGGAAGCGCAGAAGCAAGCTGGGTTCTTCTTGAGCCGGTTCTTGGTGGCTGCTGTGATCCTCTGAGGATACCGGATTCTCACTTTGTCACTCTTCCAAAGCAGACAGTGACCGTGATTCTCCAGAAGACTTTGGT